CCATAACTTAGAAGCTGTGATTCCAAGGGAGGTATAAATATCCCAGCGGCAGGAAGACTCCTTCGGCTGGTCCGAAGGTAGTGGGGTATCTCAATTGATTGTTCACAGTCAGTTACAGATTGATCTCCTCGTTCTCTCTTTCCCCCCTTCCCACTACTGCACTTGACTAGTCTTTTGCGCCCCGAGCAGACCCTCCCACGGCATTTGAACATCACTTCACTGCCGCCAGCCTCTCAGCTCTAGAGTAAGGAAAAGCACAGCCCCCACCACAGCCAGAAAATCCCCCTCTTAGAAAGTATTTATAACAGTGCCTGCTATTGCAATAGCCACATTTCCAGCCAAATTCTCGGTGGTACAGCCTGCCAGGCATTGCCTGCAGCCTCCGAAGCACTGAACATAACCTGGCTAATTTAGATTCACCTGGTGACATGCCAGGAGCACAGCAGGGTGCTCTGAGCAGAGCTGTCCCATAGAGATAGGACTGGCTGCAAGTATTTATAAATAAATACCACTGAACACAGTTAAAAGTGTTGCCAAGCATTTTTGAGAAGTGGTATAGGAACCTCATTTTTGAAACTACACCTGGTCAGGCAGGTGAAACAGAGCAGAGGTGGCAGAAGGGACAGTCTAGCTGTCTCTGCTCGGTAGAGAGCTAAAGTATTGTCTGAAAAGGTGCACACTGAGCATTTTCAGGAAGGGAGAGGCATCTCCTTGGCCTTGGGCAGAAGGTCTATCCACTGTTGTAAAAGCATGGAGGGTCACACCCGCTGCTCAAAGATAAATTCTTTGATGGAGCATGTCAGGCACCTGCTTTCCAAAAGTGAGTTCTATGCTGACAATCACCACAGACTGCAAGCACAGTTCTGTGACCTCAAGAAATGTGTTTAGGTCTGAAAGAGGGGCAGCCTTCAGGCCCTTTTCTGCTGGCTGGAGCTTCATTGGGCTTTACTCACTGCCCTGTTTCTTTGGGATTTTGTCTGATTCTCTCCCTCCAGAGAGATTTTTACCCTGTAGGTGCATCCCAGATACCAAACTTCAGCTTTACATTCCAGTGCAGGTGCTAGTCACCTAATTTTCTGATACTGAATCTTTTACTGGAATTAATAAATCATGGCTTGTGATGAGGAAAACTTTGTTGCATCCAAAATGTTGGATAGATCTTGCTTATTCTGAAAGATTAACACTGGATTCATTTCAGTTGAAGGAAGAAAAATTGACCTAGGAAAAAGGAAATGTCATAGACAGCAGAGAACCACATAATAACCACTCCCTTCTTGTGGCAAACAAATGAGTACAGCAGAATACTTATGAATGCATTTGATAGATTCTCTGAAATCAAAGTGTCTGAAGAAACTAAATTTTGCTGTTAGACTCTGTTGAGTCTGAAAATGTTCATTATTTAATCACTATTAAAGTGCATGGTCTGAATTAGTTATTGATTTCAGCCAGTCACCAGATGAAAGCAAGGAATGCTTCAAACCAAAAGAGCTTTGTGGCAATGTTATTTTTTCCCCTCCAAACAGTATCCCAAGATTGACAATTCTCACTAGAACTTTTTTGTACATTTCTACTTATTTTGTATCTGAGCTGATGCATGTCTCAGGCTAAATGTTTTCTCTTGTGTTTTTTAGCTCTCAAATAGTTATTGATCTGTAGTTACTAGTGGCAAATACATATAATTGGCTGCATTGCCTGGTACTGCCTATGATTCATTTACATATGTGTAGTAATCTTCACACATTATCCTAATTTCCTCTTCCCTTTGCAAGCAGGATGTTTTCCATCAGTGACTTAGGTCTGGCCTTTCAAAGTGCAGTGCTTCATGCACAAGAGGATGACTTGCTCCTTATTTATCCACAGTTCCTCTTCAGGCTGAAGTGTTCAAGTATTGGACTTCAGTCTTGTGACACTCAAGTTTGACCATTCCTATAATTTTCAGCAAAACAAGCTGCATTGTTAGGAAAAGAACTCCAAACAAGCACTGATTTTATCCTACCACTGAAACTGTTACCACAGCACTGTGATCAAAGGAGGACTTTTTGATCCTTACCAGTTCTTTTGGACATTTTCCTGCATGAGCAAGCACTACCCTTATACCCACTGCTGTGTAGCTATGGCAAACAGCATGCTTCAAGGAGATCATTAACAATTATGGTGCACTTTGGAAGTGAAAGAATGAAAAAAACCAAACACACTGTGACCCTTTTTTTTAATTTAAAATGTGATTTTTCTATTGAAAGAATGGCTGGTTTGTCCAAACTGAACATTAAGGGTGATCTCTGAGAAAAACAAAGAGGCAGGCAGATTATAGTAAGGCCACTGACATTTCCATGGACTCATTAATACACCAGTAAACAGCTCCCAGTTTGCATCTGCTTAAGTCAGGTGCTCTCCTTCAGGCTCAGGGAAAGGAGCTTAACAAAGCTCAACCCTCTTGTCACTAGGCTCTCTGTGACAATCTGCTGGCTGGGAAAAGCTACAGCTCAGTTAAACTAGTGGGGTTTTACTTGCTATATCTTAGTAGGTGTCTTGAGACTGAAAAAGACCAAAACCAACTCAAAATCACAAAAGAAGTGCCAACTCCCACATGAAAATACATCACTAAAGTCCACTGTCCAAAGGCATCAGCAAAAGTTACATATGAAATATTTCACATGGCAAAGTGAATGCAAAACTGAATGCCAACTTCCTTACTCGAAGCAGCAGTACCAATTTCTGGTGGCATATCCCATTTCCTGAAGGCATTCTGTGGTTCAGAAATGAGTGTTGGTGCAGCAGGACCACTCAGCAGAGCTGTGGAGCCTAGTTCGTGTTGCATATTTGTTTGGAACAGGCCCATAGGTTAAATCCAAGTTATTAGGCTGAATATGGAAAGCAAACAGCAGAGAACTTGTGGTCTGATGTGTAAACCAATAAGATTAGCTGAGTAAATGGCCCTGTCTAGCATCAATTTCTCTAACTTCAGGGAAAATTTATAAATTACCTTTTTCCTCTCCCCTGAGATCACCTCCTGCTGTGTTTATTTTTACTTTTTTATCATTCTGAGCAGCATTTTACCAGGCTGTATTGCAGAACAATTCTCTCCTAATGTAGGGCAAAAGATAGCAGATTTCAGGAAGGCCACTATAACTCAGACAAAGGCAAGTAGAAGGGCATTAATGCAGGCCAGGCTGTCAAGTGTCAGCTTTCACTATGAAGAAACAACTGGCTGTTCAAAACCCCAGCCTGTGGAAATCCTTCAGAGGATTGGGTTACTGATTGTGATAAGGGTTTTATTTGCATGGCTGGATTAATATAGCTTATCTCCTTTATGTTTCTGTTAACCAAGTCACACACAGCTTGAGATGTGAACAGCATTTCTCAAACTGAAACTCCCACCTTTCTAATGTAAGGATTTGGAGCAGTTCATAGACCAGATCCCTTTCTCTCTAAATGCAAAAATGAAACTGGAGAGTGGTCATATCCCTCCAGACCCAAGCAGCCTCATCTAGCCTCTACAAAGACACGATCATTTATTTTTCATGGTACATATAAGAGCTTGTTCAGACAGATTACAGCTCAATGGCTTCACATAAAACCAGCTGCTCCTGACACAGAAAATCCAGCACTAACATTAACATGACATCAGTCTGGGGCCTGAGAGGAGGCAGAGCTCTCTCTAAAGGAACTGGTTTCAAGTGCAGAGCAACCTCCAAGGGTGTTGAACGAAAAAAATTGATTTGTGAGTGGGATTCTGGGCAGATATGAAGACAGGTTGTGCATGGTAAGAGAACATTTCTTCTGCCCATGGCTGCATGGCTTCACACAACCTACATGGGTGCAGGCAGGAAAAGAAGGGAAGCCCTCTGTAGTCAGCAACTGAGAGCCCTCCCCTGTCACATGCATTGCAGTGGTATGCAGGGATTCCTGCGACTCCTCAAGCTGTGCTGAAGTCTTAGAAATGCCTGGCCACTGATCCAAGATGGTACTGCACTGAATTTTGCTAGGGTTGCTCATAGATCCCCAGTCTGCATTGACAAAGGGAGTTCTGCAACCCAAAGCCAAATTGCACAACAAACACAAGGGTTTATACCAGTTTGACTAAGCAGATTACACAGTTTGCACAGGACTTGACTTACTCACTACCCACATCAAGGGCTGAGCACACAGACTGCAACACCCAGCCCTCTGACAGCGTCCATTACCAATGCAGGCTGTCAGCAAAAGGCCTTTTGGAACACAGTTTGCACAGGCTTCTCTTGCCTACCAAAAAAGAAAGGACAGCAGTCTGACCACTACAGTAAATGCTACTTTCTGAGAAGCCTTTAGCCTGTATCACTTATTCATCTTCTACTTTCCAGAAGGCTGTTTACTCAGCACATAGCCTCACACACAAGAGGGCAGAGAAAACTTTGTGGCACCAGCTCTGCAGTGCCTTTCTTGCTTGCCACCAGCCAGATCCTGGGCCATACCCAGGCACTACCATAATTAGCAGTTTGGACATACAAAATTGCTGAGAGTAAAAACCAGGTAACAACCTTGATTGTAAACCCTCCGCTGTTAACAAATCTCTTCCAGCACTAAAAACTATCACTTAATGCAGTATCAAGATGCCAGGCCAGTATTTACTGTCACAGACACAGTACAGACAAATTTTTTCCTCAAGGAGACCAGCTGTGCTACAGTTGTGCCTACTTTAGTTCTTAACCCTTCAGGGAAAGGAGCTGACCCTGAGGAAGTCCCAACTCTGACTACTTTAAGATGTACTACAGTTTACAGAAATAAGTTTGTTTCCAAGAGGATGCATGTGTGGGAGATACACCAGGCCAGGCTCCATGGACTTTTAATATTTTACAAATCAATCCTGTGCTGAAGCATAAACTGTAGGATCTCTTCCAACTGGAACCATAATCAGAAATTATGTCATAGGCTCATGTAGCTGTGGCAAAGAGCAAGTGAGGGGAGCTCCCTTATTCTCTTTTACTGCTTTTTTTTTCTTCTGTAAGAAGGGAACACCAAGGTTAATCAGCAGAACTTAGGTAACTCTTTAATAAAATAATTTGTAATGTTTAGGAAAGCATCCTAATGCATCAGGAAGGAAAAAGCAGGCTTGCATAATGCCTTTGACAAATTCCAAAAGATGGTATGACCTGTTCTCCTTAGAATGCATCAATCACATTAATATCACTTTCTGGACAAAGATGACAAACCTCACAGTGTATCCATCCCAGTGAGTTTCACAGAGGGTTCATGTGATGTTGACAGTGAACACAGCAAAGGACAGGATACTTGAACTAAGGAAAGCAATTTGCTTTCCACTGTGACTCTGCCCAAAGCTTAGAGGCAGCAGTATCGTCATCTTGCTGGGGAGTTATAAATACATTTATTATGACACGCAAATGCCAAGGTGAGTGGCACAGCTGAGGACTCACAGGAAATGTGGCCAGGTGACACCAGTGTAAGGATGGAACAAATCCTCATTCCCTCTACTGCTCATAACCTAAATCCATAACCTGCTTGGGGTAACACTGCCTGCTCTTGCAGCTTACTGTTGTCAAGAAACTGCAAGCAGTACTAATTACTGTATTCCTATTCAGCTCTGACTCAAGCACTACTGCTCCTGAACAAGAGTCAGGGTTTCAGCACCATACTGAAGGAACTGCTTGTGTACCAAGGAGAAGAGAGAGAAGTGGCAGGAGCACTGAGCCAGCACATCTGGGACACTCCCCTGGGCCTTGTGTCCTCTATTGCCAGAGGGGCTCCCTGGAGGCTGCAGAGGTTTCACCCCAGAGAGGGGTTGGCTCCTGTGGGAGGAAGCAGTTTAAAGGAACACTGCAGCATTGGCAATGAAAATGTTAATAATTTTGCACCTGTCAGAAGAGAGGTGAGAAATGCTCTTGCTCGACTTTAACCCTTACTGTCCCAAGGAGAATGGTGCCTCAGCCCTGACTGAAGTCCTTCACCACCAATAAGGGACTCTTCACCCTCCTTTCTACAAGTTCCATATTTATCCATATTCCCCTGTTAGACAGCAGCTGTTTCAAAACAAAACCCTTTAATTCTGCAAACAACTAACAAGAAGCAATTTAGTCCCCCACAGCAGTGTGTGAGGTATTTGCTGGACTATGTTTTAAGAACTGATTTTAAAAGCCTGTGCCTAGTTCTTTGAAGAACTGAATTAATAACACTGGCAGATAGGACTGAACTAGTTACTTGACTTGTATATATATTTTCTAAAGCTGAAAAAAATCACCTCTGGTGTTCAGCTAAGTCTCACCTCACTCCTGTTGCCTGCACAACACATTTAGAATAGATTATAGCTTTTGAAAGCTCTGCAGAAGAGCTGCAAAGGGAAATGACAGTAGATGGGAAGATAATGCACTTTATCTGGTAAGAGTCTTGCAGATGAAATACTGTCTAAGCTTAACAGCCATCTGTCCACTTAAGGACAGTAGAAAGAAAAAGCTCTCTAATGTGAAAAGAGGAGATGGACAATGCCAGGGCCTGAGGTAAATGATGACACTGCTTTAACACTTACTTGCTTAGCATTTCCCACCTTTTGCTGATAAAGAGTAGGAGCTGAATAGCATTCAGGCACACCCCAGCACTACCAGGAGATTTGATACTGTCCCTCTCACCCATAATATGCTGGTGAGCTTTGTTCACTATCTTTGGCTAAGCCATTAATTAAGGGAAAGCCTTCCTGCAGTCCCATACACCTCTGCAGGAATTATTTGATAGTTATGCTTTGCTGTGTGGGTTGTTAACAGTGGGGGACAGTCCCCCCTTAAGGCAGAAGGGAAGGACACCCCTTCCATAGGGATATAGGGATGCCAAATGCAGTAGAAAAGTATAAGGACTACGTACCCCCTTGCAGTCCCTTTGGGTCCCCAGACTCTACCTGAACAGCCACCTCCTGGCCATGGGTTTATCCTTGCTACACAGAATACATCTCCCCAGAAGAAAGAAAAAAGATTGTGCAGATCTAAAACCACTGGCTGCTTGTTTGCAGCAGGCCCAAACTCGCCAAAAATCTAAAAACTAACACAACAAGCAATTACCGAAGGAAGACTGGTCGTATTTTGCAAGACAGCAAACAGTGCTGCTAGGAGAAGAACTACCTGTAAAACAAAATGTGAATCAAAACTGCCCCAGGGACATTCAAGTCGCACACACCACAGCCTCACAGCTCTGAGAAGGGTCAGACAGTGCTTCCAGGGTGCATAGGTCTGCAACCTCAACATGGCCCATAAATTTATTGGCATATCTAAACTGGGCCATTCAAGATAAAAACCCACTTTTAAATGCATATACTCCCAAGGGCAGCACAGTGAGGATGTGATTATTCTTTGTACCTGCAATACCTGCTAGAGGAATAAAGGCTGTTAGAAGGTCTCAGTCTGCTTGCCCAAAGAAGAATCACTATCAAACTTTCCTCTCTGCAAAAGGAAAGGAGACAGTAACACATACATCTGACACCAGAATCCCAGCATTTCCACCCACTAGATGCTCTTTTTGTGCCATACTCCAATTACTCCAAAACATATTCAGGAAGACTGAGATGTGAATGGATCAATAAGGACTAGTAAAGAGAGGTACATTAGAAAAACTTGCTATTTTAGCATCACCCTCTCTACAGAGAGGCTAAAACAGATCTAGAGCATATTTAGTTAGCAAGTCCCTGTATCTTATCTCAGTAGGACCAAATAATTCATCCACACTTTAGAAAACTTCCATTCTTATCCTCAGCTATGAATACAGTGATAGGGTCACATGAATAGGTACAAAGAAACATAACAGAAAACACTAGCTGAAAAGACAGGTCCCCCCAGTAACCATAACAACAAATAAGCCAAATCTGTTTGTCTGAGGGATCTGCTTCTCTCTTTTTGGTAGTATCCTTTAACTTAAAACAGCTGCATTGGAGTCAAAGAACAAAGCTCAAGATAGTCACAAAAAATAAAGGATGTATTTTTCTCCAAAGATCAAAACCGTAACTAACATAAGACATTCATATTAGAGTATTAAGTTCAGTGTCCAGAAAAAAACTCATCTGCCATATAAAAAAAAAAAAGATACTTAAATTGCTTTACTGCTCAAGAATCTCTTTGCTCAAAACTGCTTAATTCTTCTCTCACCAAGTTTTGTCAGTAACTTGATTTTAACTACATTGTACAAACAACTTTTCTTCTCCACCCTCATCTTATCTAAAGCTCTTCTTTTGTTCTGGAGAGTTTTGTTGCATGCTCCTCTATAAATTTGCTCAAATGCTCTAAATCTCTGTCCCCGCCTTCAAATTTAATTGGGTTGTTCTTCTTGTCCTTTGGAGCAAAGTAGATGGTGGGGAATCCCTCCACTTTGTAGTGGTCATTCGTCACGTCGTTGGCAGTAGCATCCATCTTGGCTATAATCAGATTTTTCTCATTCTTGTATTTTTTGCCTAGCTCATTATACACTGGTTCTAGTTTCTTGCAGTGTCCACACCATGGGGCATAGAACTCTATGAGAACATCATTCTTTGGATCCATCACTATGGTATCAAAAGTTTTACCCACTACCACTTTCACAGGCCCTTTGTTATTTTTTGGCACTGGCTGGGACTTCACAATTGGCTTCAGTTTTCCTAGAAGGAAGCAAAACACACACAACACTGTTAGAATGTGGTAAGAGCAGCCCTTACAATCTCCCCTAAGAAAGGGCAGAGGTACATCCTCATCCTCCTGCCAGGTAAAGATCACTGCACTGGCAAATGAACTTGCCTCACCATGAAACACAGGCTAGTTAACTAGTGACCTTCTGGCCCAATAACCTCATGAAATACAGGCAACAGGTTTTTTTGCAATTCCTCCTAGAACCCTTCTCTTTTTATGGCTGTCCATTCACAAAGTAACCCATTATTTAATATAGTAGTCCCAAATATGAATGACCAGCTCACACTTTAAAGCCACAGGAACATTTTAGGCTCGTAAAACAGACTCTGTTTACTAGAGCCATCACCTCAGAAAACAACTCTTGGAAATGTAAACAATATAGCTTAGAGAGCCCTATTTTAGAAACTGTACCTTTTTTGAATGCCACCACAAACTGCCTGAGTACATCAGAGTCAAACTCCTCTGGCTCCATGGCATACTTCTTGCCACCTTCATCCAGAATGGCAGCGTTGACATCCTCTCCACTCTCAAGCAGGCCCAAATCCTTTATTTCAGAAGAATAATCTTCCTCATCAGAAACAGCAAACACGTATTCAGGGAAGTCTTTAGCCACTTCCAGGACTTTGCTTCTCCAGTACTGAGTAGCTGAAAAACAAGAACAGGACAGAATTGGTAATTTCTAGCTATTCAGTGCCTGCTTCCTCTCAAAGTGAAGGAAGGGTAATTAATTGTAGCAAACCCACCAACACGGTAGTCGAAACTGAAGTCCACAGAGTAGTAGACAACCACCAGAGGACGCTTGGAGTATCTCTTGGCATCGTTGGAAGGCTTGCGATGACCAACCAGAGGCAAAGCATGTTTTAGCACGTGCTCTTTAATCTCAGATCCATCTGTAGAGTCCTGTAAAAAAACAGTGACAAAAGTTCAAGCAAACAGATTTAAGCAGCATTTCTGCTGCACACTACTAAAAAATCAATATTGGGACACATGTATGTGAAAGAGGGAAGGATGTGTTATAAAATCAAGGCTGCCACCACATTTTCTTCAAACCTTTGAGCACTGAATATTGCACGGACAAATTACTATTTGAAAACATAACATCCGGATTAATTTCATAAAGTCCTGTTGAAAAAGAAATACAGTTTCAGTGGACAAACAGGGTGACTCAAATATCTAGTAGGAGTATTTCTAACAGGAAGATGCCAACTGATTGGAATTACAGAGAAAGAGAACCTTCAATCCCACACACAAACATTTTAGCTCTGGACCATCTACTCACTTTAAGATTCAGAACGTGCATCTTGGACTCGTGCTTTGATTGAAATTTTTCTGGCTGCATGACAACCAGTTTTCCTGGAGAAACTTTCAATAGTTTTGCAATCTCATTGCTGAAGGTGTGATGGAACTTATAATCTTCTCTCAAACCATTAGCTGAAAAATTAAGGTTAGGGTGAAGGAAAAGTTATTAGAAAGTGAACTTACAGACTGTAACTGAGATAACTGCACGGAAAAGCTCATCCTGTTCTCCAAGTGACACAGAACAACTCGGTCTTAGACAACACCTCTCATCAGGGGTGAGAAGCATGTGAATATACATGCAATTCCAGCAGCACTATTTGAATGCTGTTGAACAACCCATCCACTTGGCGAGTTATTGTACACACTCAAACACCTTGAACAGCTTCCAAAACACATGCAGCAAAACAGTTTTTCTTTTATCAATCTCTTACCTCTTGGCCTCTCCCCAAATAGGTCAGCTAGCTAAACTATTTGCTTTGGGGCAGCCTAGGATACAGTTCTCTGTCTTGCCATGCTGAGGCAAACAAATGAGCTCCCAATCCAACTATGACAGCAGCCCCAGAATCAGACATAGACAGGTTGCCAGGAATGGTCTAACTAAACTGACTCAGAAGTGGATGAGGATCCTTTACTCAGGCCTCTCATCCAAAATGAGTTTGGGGACAACTGACTCTGGGCTGCCAGATATGAAACTAGAGTAACAGACAGCAAACATACCCAGGCTTTAAGCCAAGAAACTGTGGTTTGTTCCTCAGGAAAGAATTTTCCCTCCTCTCTAGTCTATATGTTTTTGGTGACACAATTACCAAGCAGAGGTATATTCTGTGACCTGCTGACACCTTAGTTACAAAATCTGGTGTGAGCGTATTTTTTGAGTACAAGTAAAAGATCACCCTTCCTCCTACTACTACTTCTCCTCTCCAACCCTCCCTACTATACTAGGAGCAGAAAATGATCTCCTCATGCCCAAAGCCCTAGGCAGAATTCAAACAAAACATATATTCCCATTAATATTTTAAAACACTCTTTACCTGCTTCCTGATAGAGCTGATAGGTTTTGTCATTCTCTCCACTAAAGACACCAATGATGATGACATCATCTCCATCCTTCAGAAATTCTTGAACCTGCTTGGTAGCCTGAATCTGTTTGGATGGAGGACCAGCCTGTTCAATCATGTAGTCGACAATACCTGTGAGAGAAACACGCCCCCAAAAAGTTGCTTAGGACATTTACTGAACTGAAAGATTTGGGCATTCCATCTATACCATTTAATGTCATACTTCCCATGAACACCTTTTCTCCTGTGCAGCCCTCCCACAATAACCTAAAGGTCAAATCAGCAAGACTTCAGTCCAAGGTTTTAAAGCTGTAGTTCTGAATATTCCCTTTCAGGTTGGTTTCAGAAGAGGTGACCAAGCACACAATCCATGAATATCAGTTGATCTTGCAAGTTTTTATGAAATTTTATGAAATTGCAGACCCTTCACTGTCTCCAGAACCTGTTATGAGCCAAAGTGCTACTTGAATAGTCTTAAGTCTTAATCAAAACTTAATACTGGGGTATTTTTGCCAGCCCTCAAGGCACATTCCAGTATAATTAAAACCTGCCCATTTACCCATACTGCCACTGTTTCACTGAGTGTATTTCATTTAATTGATATTGAAAGGAGCTGATACTACCACCAAGTGTATTTAACTTACTTGATATTGAAAGGAGCTGACACTACCACCAAAAGATGTTATGAAGACTAAAGACAAATTTAAATATCCTGTGTAGGCATGAGAGCAGAATTTTTCAGTTGTCCCCAGTTAACTGCTGCTATGACATTAACAAGTCTGCAAGTCCAACAGATATGTAAAAATATTTTTCAGAGCACAAGAAAAAGCAGTTTTTCTTGTAAGCAAAGTTGCAGTACCGTATTTTTCCCGAGGACCGCTGTAGTCGTAAGGCTTGCCCTTGCGGAAGATTTTGAGGGTTGGGTAGCCAGTGACATCAAACTTCTTTGCAAGCTCGGTTTCAGCCGTGGCATCGACTTTAGCCAGGGGGATGGGAGGCGTGCGCTTGCTGAGCTCCTGGGCAGCCTTCTCATACTCTGGAGCAAGCCTCTTGCAGTGGCCACACCTAGGGAGGCAAAGCAGAGGGCACCTCTTACCAGCCACTAAGCCTGCCAGGTACCTCCTACCCCTGGAGTGGAAGAGTCAAGTCTTCCAGCATGCAGAAATGGGATCATTGAATCTACAGAGGACATTTCAGCCAGGTCTCTGCAACCTGAAGCTGGCCTCACATTACTATAGGTAGCTTCATTTTTAAGCTAAGGACCAATTCCTTTTGGTTTTCAGTATCTCAGTGTGTTCCCAAATCAGTAAATATTGTCCAGTGAAGATCTGGACACCACCCCTTGCTGAGGCACAGATCCAGTCTAGCCCGCCAGTGATTTGCAAAGTGATCCCAGGTGCAGATTAGAACTGAGGTACACCAAGTGTGTTCAGGCCATCTGTGCTAGACAAATACAGGTGACTGCCTTCTTGCTTACCATGGAGCATAGAACTCCACCAGGATTATGTCAGCATCATTCACAACTTCGTCAAAATTATCCTGGGTCAATACCAGAGTAGCTTCGGGTGGAGGGGTCCAGTTGGGGTCAGAAACCTCCTTGACTTTGGCCACAATAGCTGAAATACAGTTCAATAACACAATTAGCAAGCATGCATTTTATCATACCAGTAGCATGTCAAATGCAAGAATTTGAAATCAGAGGGGAAGTATGGTGCTGGATCAATGCTTACACATCAAGCTTACATGAGAACACTTTCTCAATCAAGCTCTTTTATGCCTTATTTCCTTGTTGGCATTACCAAGAAGGTCTTCTCTTCACCCTATAGAGTGTCTTATGCAAAGCACAGATCTGTACTTTGCAGCACTGAATTCTATCTCAGACAGAAAATGTATTTTTTTCCCCTCTGACTAGAGCTGGACATATTAATTAAGCAAAATACAAGTGGGTTTCTATACAGCCAACATATATATATCAAATGTTCATTGGCTGATCCTTCAGCAAACATGAGACCGTCTTCTCTTCAAGTCGTATTTCTAGAAACCTTCTGTCAGTACCAGCACTACTCACTACCTGCAAAACTGTCCTCTGGCATGCAGCTTGTTGAGAGAACAGGGAAAATTTCAGCATTCATAGTATTACTTGTTTTAAGAAATACTTGAGATCAGGGTCCTTCCAAAGAGCCACATATTAAGAAACAAGATCATAGATACTTTGTTTTCATACAGGGAACTGCAAGGGACTGGTGCTTACCCTCTTCTGTCCGAGACCCATCGTAGTCAACAGCTTGGCCTTTTTTCAGGATTTTGATGGTTGGGTAGCCACTGACATCAAAACGACTCGACAGTGAAGTGGCAGCAGTAGCATCTATTTTGGCTACAGGAATAGGAGGGTCATTTTCCTTCAGAGCTTTGGCTATCTTCTCATACTCAGGAGCAAACTGCTTGCAGTGCCCACACCTGTCAGAGGAAGACACAAGCAGGTATGTAAATGCAGGACAGACACACAGAGGTGCTCTGCTGCTCTGCAATTCCAGGATGCCTTCTGACAGATGTCCACATCATCAGCACAGAAATGTTTGTCTTGCTACATGTTCAGATCATGGAGAGATGGAGAGCAACTGTAGCTAATGTACTGTATGTTCACATCAAAACCTTTATTTTTCTTAAATTTCAGTTAATGTGGAATTATTGTCATATGCTTTATAAAACCACTGTTAAAATATTCAACAACTTCCTTTACAACAAAGTTTTGTTATGCTCACTCCTTCCTTCTTTCCTTCCTCCTCAACTTCAGCTTCTCCCTAACCAAGGTTCATCTTCTCTCCCCAGCACCCTAAATTGAAGTAAAGAGAAAATGAACCAGCAGTCAGGTTGGCCAAATGAAATCTCCCACCCACCATGATAACGCAGCATCTGCCCCCTCTCTGGCCACACCAGAACTCTCTGGGGAGAAGAGAGGCTCCTGATGCAAAAACAGGCATTACCAAGGATACCAGCATAAATAATGCTAAATACAGCCTGACAAGCTAAAGGTGAAACCAGGAAAATGTAGGAAAACAGAAAGAAGTTTGTGGCAGATAGCCGTTGCTACTTAGCATCTCAGCTGGAAGGAGGGGGAGTAGAAAAATAGGAGAGGTGTTTAGTCACACATCCTTCTGCTCAGATAAACTGAACTTCATGTTTAGTTTTCATGTAGGCAAACTACAGCTGCAGAATTAGTGCCTACAGCCAAGAAGAATGGGATTCTCTGTGAAAAGAATGGCACAAGTTAAAATGCAAGTCCACCTCAAGCAAGATCATATTTCCCCTCTATTCAAAGGCTGGAGAAGCACCAATGAGTAAGTCATTTTTGTATCACTGAGCCACAACGGAAAGGTTCTGACTGCAACACTAACTCAGCAACTCTACTGAAAGTATCTTCTATCTTGTTTTCCCCCAGTAACCATCCTTAATGTTTTTGAACACAAGAATGCAAGAGAAGACACATCCTGGCCTAAATCCTTTGTCTTGGTTACAGCAGGTAAGTCCATTGTAGCTCCCTGGAGTGCTGCACACCCTGGGATGCCAGCAGAACTGCCATCATTAGGCAGATGTATGAGGCATTGCTTAAAATGATAATACAAACAAGCTGTGTCCCTAATCACTCCACACCCTTCTGGCAAGGACAGAAATGGGAATTTGGAAAGGAAAACCTTCAGGGAATTCCTCTGCTAGGGAAGCCTTCATTACTCCATCTAGGTGAGCAAGTACACATGTTCTCAGTGGTCCACCACTGGCACAGGATGATAGCAGGCTGCAAGACCACACTGCACGACTTTTCTGGGCCTCACTGGGACCATTTCTGTTCCCTGACAGGCATAAACCAGGGACAGAATCAGGTTTGTGCTCCCCTAGGCATGGGATCCCTCAGTATGACCCACATCTGTGGAACAGGAGCAGGCTGCTGGTTATTGCATGGTACAGGGGCAGGAAAAAAGGTTCTTCCCCACCACCAGAACCATCTCTTATTCTAGAGTACAGCAGAGCCCTGGGCATCTCCTGCAGGCAAGTTACTCCTTTGTCACCTTTAAAATGGCAACCCAAGGTCACTTTTTAGGAGCTTGCCCTGGCAGAGCAGCCCTGTGACCCTGCACCCGTGGGGGTGCCGCTGTGAACCCACCATGGTGCGTAGAACTCCAGCAGCACGGTGTCCTTGTCTGCAGTGAAGGTGTCAAAGTTGGCATCATTCAGGACTAACACACCATTCTCCTCTTTAACTACAGAATCATCATCGTCTTCCTCATCTTCTTCATCGTCATCATCATCACCTTCATCGTCAGCTTCTTTTGTAACAGATTCTGGCAAGGTAAGAATATGACACACAGATTAGACTGTGTCAAGTTTAACATTAAAGTGAAGATGGATTTGGTATCTCCTGTGGCTAAGGAAAGTACCCACATGAATTTGTTTCTGCTGCACACACAGTGACAGCTATCTCACTTTGCAAAGAGCCCGGGCTCAGATGTTTGACCATTTCAATTTTGTCCACACTACACCAGCTAACAATATTCATATTTCAGTAAAGCATCAATAGGTATTTCACACCTCAGGGAGAACTAACAAAATGGACACAAGAAGAATTAAAGAACACAAATCTGCACAACAGTTGCCACCAAGGTTTGATGGACATCTTGTTGAAATGTGGGCAGTGGGACATGTTTTGCTGGGCAAGAAGGACACAAAGATGACAACTGAACTTCAAACAGAACCCCTTCATCATGCAACAGAGTAGCCAACTTTAAGTTGGAAAACTTAGTGTCTTACACCAAAAAAGCAGGTGTTATCTGCTCCCAATGCTCCCCTTGTACCCCTGCTCAGGAGACCTGTAACACAATAGCTATGTGCTGCCTGTCTGAAGGTCTAATAAACAGACACACTTGCTATAAACCCAAAATTTACCATTTCACTACTATCAAGGTGGTTTGGAGGCAGCACTTCTAAACTGTGCTTCTTTCCTGACTGCTTCATCCACCTCTGCCATTCTTGCTTTCAGTTACAGAGATGTTCCAGGTCTGCTATTCACTGAGGAGCCTTTCCACTCACAGGAGCACCAATCACTCTGCTCTGGATCAGCACCAGGCTGCAGTGAGTGTAAAATCAAGGAACTAACTGCAGAAGTCCCATGGAAACTCATTCCTATGCACCTGGCAAATGCCAGGTACTCTTCCAAAAAAACCCCAAAAAACCACGGAGTGAAAGCTTCTTCTTTCAAAGAACTTTTGGGGAGGTCTTTGAATTAAGACCAAAACCACTGGTCCAGAACAGTCCTTTAAAGGAGAAAGCAATTTGTCAAATTACCAAAGCAAAATTAGCATGCGAAAGCTGAAGCCAGCACATTTCTACTGGTTCCTTCTTTGTTGGCTTGGAATTTGAGATGATTTTTTCAATATCTGACCTTTCACATGTTCCTTTAAACTTTTTTTTTAAAAACAAAACTGCTATCTTTCAAGGAAATCAGACCTTCCTGAAGGACTTGAAAAGAATTTCAGTTACAGAACAACTAATGAAAATATCTCATCCCAAATGAAAACTGTAAAACAATGAAGTTAAGTCCCTTTCAACCAGTGGAGTCCTAGGAATTGGATTAAAAAAAGCGGGGGGGGGGGATTAGAGTTTCTTGTTTAAAATTATTTTCTATTTAAATGGCTTTTGACTAAGGTGAGAGGAGCTACTGCAGAAGTATTCTGAAAATATTCTGATTTCATCAGGAAGTTGAAAGTCAAGAATGACAAATATGTACTATCCAGATATGGAAAAGCTAACAAAACAAAACCCACTTTTGTCAGACCAACAGCAGACATTAGGAACAACCTCACCATGGACAAAATTATGCCATTAAGTTGCAATAGCTAGTTTTATTTTAAAAGAAAATATGCAAAAAACAAGTCTATATGCTCTCAGGAAACAGTACGGGCTCTTGGAGAAAATATATTGATTTTAATTAGAGGTTGAATTTACGTAGCATGAAAATAGAAAATTACTAAAGCTTCTGATGAAGGGAGAGATCACAGGAGATCATTTATCACACAACCCCAGTCAGCTGGATCAGGTTTCTTTAACAAGTGCTAGTGTTTCACCTGATCTCTGAGGCAGCTAAAAGCACTATTTGCAAGCAGACAATGCCTCCTGTGTTGCAGCTCTTGCTCACCCTTGAGTGAATGCACACCTCACATCCCTGCAGGGCTGCCCTGGTGGAACAGCTGGATGTCAGGGGCCTTCTGCAGGCAAAGCCTGTGCCTTACAGGGGTGCCCAGCAGTTCTGAGGGCTCAGTTTCACCACAGGCTGCTCCTGGCTGGCCTGTGCCTGAATTCCCAGCCATTGCATTCCTGGCAAATTGCTTCAGATATGATTTTTCCTGACACAAAGGAACGCGAGCAAAACCAGCCGGCCAGTTCTGCTCCTGCACCCCGAACACCCACCGGCTTGTGACCCCTGTTCCTGCCCACTCCTCACCCCCAAGAGAGACAAAGAGCTCAGCAGTTACAGCGGCACCTGGTTTTTGGAAAGAACAAGGTATTCCCTGCAAAAACATCCAGCACCGGTGGAACATGTAACCATCCGATCCACCATCCCTCACTGAAATAATTTTCTATCTTTCCCTACAAGCGGCGGTACTGCCTGCCAAGGTGAAACTTCCCTGACGGTGACACGTTGTCATGGGCACTGCACACACCCCCTTCCTCCTCCTCCTCCCTGGAGATGGAGGCAGGACAATAGGCCTGGAACAGCAGGACTCCACCTTTTCCCAAGCGGCTTAAGGAGTGAGGGCGTAAAAAGAAAGTTACCCACACTCAGATATCGTTCCTAAAGAGTGCAGAGTTACTTTCTGTAGCTTCCACCTTCACCAGCAGGGCTATCACAGCTGCCTCTGCCATCCCTTTAAAGTTGGGACTGAAAGACCTGTTTCAGGGACCCAACCACGACTTTTTTTTTTCTCCCATAAAGAGCAAGAAACTTTCCTCTGCGTTAAAGATTCACAATTTTAAGAGAGCAGAATGAGTTTGTGACACCTGAAGTGGCAGAAGTAGCTAATAAATACTTGCATAAGTCAGCTCTTGAAAATAAAACAGCTGCCCTCAAACTGAAGTAACTTTGTTTCTTAAAGAGACTTGCAAAGCCAGTGGACAAACCAACAGCTGTGACAGCTGTGGCTAAAACCTGTCCTCTGGTAAAATATGGATAACCCCCTTACACTAAAAAAAAAAAAAAAAAAAAAAAAAAAAACAAAAAAAATTTTAAAACCCCAAAACAAAAAACTCCCCAAAACCCCCACAAAATCAATCCTCAAATTCCAACACATTACTACACAAGTCAAAAAACATGATCAAGAAGGTACTTTTTATAAGACTTGAAGAACACGATGCCGGCTGGCAGGCCTTCTTTAGGATGACAGCTACTCTGAAATTAATTCTTACAGTAACTTCACTGAATACTCAGCATTTATCAGAAATATAGCCTAGCAATATTTTCTTAAACAAAGCAAATCCTGTACAGAAAAGCTGCATCCAGACACCAATGACTTTGGGATGCTGCCTGAAAGTTTTCTTTTGAGCAGCACACTGTTCCCTAATAGGATGAGCTCAGTTTTCAGAAACTCAGAACTCATCATGTGTTGCTAGGACTTTTGAAAGATTTTCAATTTAATTTAATATCAGCCCCCTTCAATGTTTTCTGGGGTGGATCCTCTACATGATCCCTCCTTTCCCATCATCAGGATGCCAAGGGTGTAGTGGTCAGGATCCAGCCTAACCTCACTTCCAGCATATTTACACCCCTGTCCTGCTCAAACCTCACTTCCCAAATCATGCAGTGCTACAAGATAGGTTTGCTTGGAACTTTTCATCTCCCCAACAACCAAGTGCATAAGACCACTTCCTTGTTGCAAAGTAAATTTATTCCACTTCACCCAAGTCTGCATTCCAAGGGCAAAAATTAAAAATCCCCCACTATGTGCATTTTTAAGGCAAAGGCTTTGTCAAGGCTAGTCCAGGATCTATATACAAATTCAAGGTACACAATAGAACCTGGGAAACGATTCAAAGCTGGGCAGTGGATTAGTGTTCAGCTCCACACAGCAGGAGACACTTCCATCCCTGCGTACCTTTGATGCCCAGAACTCTTATGATGAGAGGAGCAGCAAGCACGGGAAATGCTGATGAGAGCCAGGCCCACAAGAAGCCGAGCCGCTGCTGCCAGCCACAGGTTAACACTGTAACATCACAGGTGCCACTTCACCCTTTGAAGGTGGCAGGGGAAAGCAGCCCGAGGCTTTGTCACATGCTACAAAGAAACCACAACCACGTCCTAGCTAAAAGCAGAGAAAGAGGCATAAAAATTGTATTCCAGTTTACAACAGAAAAAAAGAAAAGAGCTCCACAGGAAGATTCTGTACCTCTGTATCCTTACTGCAGATGCCATATTTAAAATCTCAATTTCAAACAAATCTCTTTACCCTCATCCTACAGACCATACAGTTACACAGATAGGGTAACTCATCTAAATGCACTTCTGCAAGTTTTAGTGCCTGTTAGGCCAGCAAGAAGTTGCAGGACATGAGTTCAGAAGGTCATCCATAATCCAGTCTCTCTAAAAGCCCTCTAATACTTAAAATGCAGCAGTGTTCACGCAGGAAACATGAACGATGCATAATTTACCAAAATCCACATGAAAGAAACTTAAAACCGAAAAAAGAAACACCTTCAAATGCCTGCCTCCTACTATACTCATTAAGCCTCAGCAGCTTTGTTTCAGCTAATTTTGGAAAGGAGGAGACACACGTCAGTGAAATCCAAAGACGGTAGGAAGAAACACCCAGAGAATGGTAACAATGGGCCTTCCTTCTGTAAGGGGGGGGAAAAAATCAGTTTGAAACACGAAGAATGCACAGAGTCCCTGAACAAAGGAGTAAGGAAAAGAGTGCTCGATCACAGAACCGCAGAATGCTAAGGGTTGGACGGGACTTGAAAAATCTCATAGTCCCAACTCCCCGGCCAGGGAAGGGACACCTCCCTCTAGAGCACTGCTTGGTGGTCTTGAACACAGCCGGCACTGGGGTATCCACAGCCTCTCCGGCAACCTGTTCCACTCAGAGTAAAGCATTTCTTCCTCATATCGAACCTGAATTTCCCCTCTTTCAATCTGCACCCATTGTCTTATTACCACTACAACTTATTATTACTACTCCTTGTTTTATCACCACAGCTCCTGATGAAGAGTCCCTCCCCGCATAATGAAATCTGTCTGATGGGTGTAGGAATAAAGCAATCGCCAATTCCCAGGAGGTTCAGAAGCCGGGGATAGCCAACATGGCTAATGGTTAGCTGGCTGTTACCTCCGTGCTGGGAGCGGCGAGGAAGAGCCGCCCCACGGCGCACGACAGACCAGCAGCGCCGGGACGAGTGGCTCGCACGGACCTCAGCGCCCCGGTCCCAGCGGCGCCCCGCCAGCCCGGGCTCCCGGCAGCGCCCAGCGCCGGGGCCGCGCCGCCGCCCCCCGCGGGGGAACCCGGCATGCGGTACCGGCCCGGCCCCTGCCCGCGCTCACCTCCGTCGCCATCCTCCTCCTGTGCGGCCGCGCCCCGCGCCAGGAGGGCGATCTGAGCCAGCCCCAGCAGCAGCACCAGCACCCACAGCCCGCGCATCCTCATCCCGCCGCCACAGCCGCTCCCGGCCCGTCCGCTCCCTGCGCTGCGCTCCCGCCGCTCGCCCCGCCCCGCTGCACGCCGCGCCCGCTCATTGGCTGCCGCCTCAACACGTGCTTGGAGCTGTCGCCAATCAACAATCGTCACGAGGGCGGCCAGCGCGGGGTGCGCGGGTTTCGCGTGTTCCGCGGCGCCCCCGGGGACCCCCGGCGGCAGCGGCCGCGGCGCCGCGTCGGGACACGGGCGCCACCGGCCGGAGCGGCGGCGGGGAAGCAGCGGCGACACCGCGCGCTGAAGCGCCCGGCCGCTCTGAGGTGCCGGCCCGCCATTGGCCGCCGCCGAGCCGCCAACCGCAGCCCGCCACGCGTGGAGCGCGCGGCCGCTCCGGGGGCGGGACGGGGCGGGAGCGCCCCGAGCGCGTGCAGCCACATCGCCCTTCGGGATTGGCGGGCCGGCGCCGGGGGGCGGGGCCAGCGGCCAGCGGCTGCCTGTGAGGGCACGCCGCGTGCGGCGGGGCGGGGCGAGGTGAGGGCGGGCTGAGGGCAGCGCGGGGGCCTCCTAAATTCCCTCAGCGGGAGAAGGGAGTTCGATATGGTGCTGCCGCTGATGGGAAGGGTGCGATGGATGCACCGTCTTTCTGTGCTCCCGCAGGGGGGATGTGGGGCAGTGAGCCCACCGGTAGCGCCGTGATTGCACGGGAAGGGGTCGCGGCGTAATGTCTGTCCGTGGTTGTCCGGATGGTGTATATGGTGAACGCCTAAGATGCAACGAGACAGCGCTAAAACCTGGCCTGTGGTGCCAAAATTGCCAGTCCGTCCCCATGTTTGGGCTAATTACATAGGCTCATGGGATAATTATTTTCATTTTAATGAAGCTTTTTACACTTAAATTGGAAGCTTATAAGCATAAAGAGCTGCTAAATTCAGTGTGCAGCTACATGATAAAAGAGTAGCAGTAGCTTATGATAAATGAATTATCTTCAAGATTTTGAAGTGCAAGCTTTAAATATAAACTCCACAATTTTAGAGGATTAAGACATTGCATTGCTATGAAAGGCTGCTGTTGCATCAGTTGCCATTTGGCATTTGTAAGTGATCTTGTGTACGTTGGGAAAAAAAAACATATTAAAAGGCCTGCTGTGTTCTACATTCATGAGTTATAGCCTAAGGTATAGAAGTTATGTAAGTTATGCTAAACCTTGTATAAGTTATAGAAGTCAGTGCCTTTCCTCAACTCAGCTGCCCCACAAGTTAACTTGAAAATACAGCTGCTGATACAGGAGCACTTTTTAAACTTACTTAGCACATCACTAGAATGGAATGGGACCTGATCTGAACCAAGTTAAAGCTGTCTGGATCCTGCCAAAATTGTGATCCTGATCCTGCCTGGTTTTGGTATTGATATAAATATTAGTTTGATTAGCATTGATATTCAGTAGTTTGATGATAGCACATAATCAGATTGTATACTCCATGTTCTCAGTGGGAAGAATTAAGAGTATGGAAGGTTTTTATTTAGAGTTTTGTTCCCAGTTTAACACAACCCTTGATTTGAATATCATCTTGGTGTGTGAAATATTTACTGTCTTTGTCCTCTGAGTTTATGAGAGAGATAGTGGCTATAGTAATCCATTTTTTCTGATTTAAGTTGGAGGTTTTCCAGCTGACAGTGACCTTTCAAGGTAGAGGAGTTCTGTCAAGCCCAATGCTTCATGACAGACCATTGCAAAACTGGTTAAAGATGCTTGCAGAAAAAGTGAGCAGGTAAAATGGGGAAGTGATGTTATTATTGCTTTTGTCTGCTGGAGTGTGAAATACTGAATTAAATGCTTTTTCTTTATGATGAATTTTATGGTTATTATGGTTTCTGTTGCTCCAGGTTAACTAACTGAAAAAGGGGATCAGTAAATTTCCTAGGCAGTCAAAGGTGCCAAATACCAACAATGAAAAGGAAGTGCAAATAGTACAAATACAGGGGAGGTGGGTTTGTTATTACTTATTTGAGCTGTGGGAGGAAAGTCTGGAATGCAGAACTCCTGTGATCCCTGTTCAGCCAAGGACAGCCTGACAGAAATTTGCTGAATTGTCAGTTCACTGTGTGGGTGGTTACAACACTGGGAGGATCTTAGGCACATCCCACGACAAACAGGGCCTTGGCAAAGGACTGTGGTCTGGTCTGTCTTCAGGCCATCAGGGCTGTGCCTGTTTTCCTAGATTAGGGTTGCACAGGATGGCACAGCGAATACAGAGCTGTAAATGGCACACCAGACATGTGATTCATTCCAGACCAGCTGGGATTCATCCCAGACCAGCTGAGGTGCCAGCTCCATGCACTTTGGGCACTTGGAAGAGTGTGCCAGCTGTGCAGCTCTTCCAGGGGATTCCTTCCTGCTCTCTAAAGGGCTGGCTACCTGTGGGGCTGACCATATGCAGCTGAAAATCCTCTGGGCTAAGCACTACTGCTGCCTTTTGCTGAGTGCTCATTCCTTATGTAAGTTAATGACAGGAGCACTCTCCTCTTTGCCAGGAGGGTCTCTAGGCAGGAGGCAGGTGGAACATAGAGGGTCATCTCAGGGTTAGATGCATAGAAAAGTGAATGGCACAGGTCTCCTGCAGCTTGTCTGATTGTGAGACATTGGCCATACAAATCCCTAGTCATGGGACGCACTGGAGGGCCCAGAAAGCATGAGGCCTCACAGAGCACCTGGATTAAAAAAAGAAATTCTACCTGATGACATCTGCTGTGCTGCACAAAAATGCAGGTATTAGTGCACTCTGGTTTTTTGAAAGTGGATTGCATTTTGTACATACTGTGTTTCATATCTTGATAAGTGTTAGGCTCTGTGCTGGCAGACCTGCATCCCCAGGAACAAACAGACAATTGCAGTTCTTAAATATGCTTCTCCTCAGGAACATTCAGTAAGTGTCTTTCCTGTTGGTTTAAGTTGCCAGTGGCTACCTTAAAGTCTTCACAGGTTGCATCTGTGTTCTCCAACATCATTAAGTGGTGGGCTGTGGAAATCTCTCCTTGTATCACACTGTATTTTTCTCCTTTAAAAGGTAGCCTAGACACTAGTAATCCTGTACCTCATATTGCACATTCTGTGAGGCACAGCCGTTAGTCTTAGAAGACGTATATTCAGCAGTAGATATAAAAAAGAAAAAGCAAATGTTCTTCCACAAAAATCACGAAAATGGTAAAACATGTCAGACCAAGCTATATAGGTCTAACTTCTGCTATTAAAATGTATTACAATCTCAAAAGTAAATGTAGACCTACTTGACCTTTTACACACTGTGAGTCAACACAGACCAGCAGCTGGGACAACCACAAACTCACAGCAAGAACATGAAGAGTAAATTTGAGCTAAAAATGTAAGATTTTAAATGGCTCAGTGTCACACAAGTGTTTTGAATTATTTTTCTGGTAGTTTTCTTGTTAACTTTCGTTATCTTGTTTGCATAATAGCTGAACTTTCACATGATGCTGAGTTGCCTTGCACATAATCTTCATGTAAATCACTTCAGTGAACCTCAAAACAATGCTTAAAATATCCATCCTGATTGCATTTCACCTCAGTGATTTGCATTTCACCTAAAAATAATTTAGAGCAAGAGAGACACTTGTAGAACTCATGATTTTTTGCTCAGTGGTTGATTCATCTATTGTGATGCTCATTTTAAAATATCTTTCAATAATTTTCAGTCATCATTGTAGAAAGATGATAAAAAGTTTGATGTGAAAATGTTCCACTTCAATACTACTAAATTCTTGTAAGTTAATGAAAAATGGTAAGTGACGGTAATATAAATTCCTGTATTGCCCAGGAAAACTGATTGTTTTGCTGCAATGATTTTGAGTGTCTGTCTGGATGACTTCTCTTTTTTTGCCTTTTCTCTGTTTTTTTCAGGGACCTGCTTCTTGGTTCTGTTACTCCTTGTTGTGTCACTACCAGCCTTGGTAAAAATTCTCTCTTCATCTTTCTTACAAGACCCCTTCATCTGTTAAAGGGCTGCAATAAGTGACCCTGGAGATTTCTCTAGGCTGAGAAATTCCCACTCTCTCAGCCTTTCCTCAAAAGAGAGGTCTTTTAGTCCTGTCGTCATTCCTGTTGCCCTCCTCTGGAGTTGCTGCATGGTCCATGTCTTTCTTGTGCCCCAAGAAAGGAGCAAGATTCCAGAGCTGGACACAGTGTTTCAAGTGAAACCACCACAGCAAAGTAAGGAAATCCCTCTGGATAACATCCTGTCCTTCTGGCATATTTGGACATCCCATGCTGGGAGGATTTGGGCAGCACTGTGGTAGTAAGGTAACCAGGCCCCAGGCAAAGGAATGTGATTATTTATTGTCAGTAAACTGAGATGCTGGCTGGCACATTGCTGGCCAGTGCCAAGCAGAGCACTTCCAAGGACTTCTGAACATTCCTCTGCAGCTGGCACGTTCTTGGAAGCTGTTTGTGTGTAGCCAGGCTGCTTGGAGAATGAGAGAATTTATTAGCACAGGTGCAAGCACCTCCACTTTGGTTGGCTTGGGTGCCTGGGAATATCCCAGACATGCCCTATTTACTGGTGTAGGTGTGGCACTTCAGTGATGTGTAGGTTGGTGCCAAGAATAGCAGAGAACATGTAGGAACACTTACCTCAGTACCACTGAGGTAAGTGGCCTAAATGCTGGCCCTTACTAGATTTTTGTTAGAATTCTACATTGTGAGAACCAATGGATAATGAGATTATTTCAGTTGTCTGTAAAGTTACATCCTAAATTTGGATGACCACCTATCTAATACAGCTCTGTAAGAGTAGTAATTTCTAAACTGTAGTTTATTTCTACTTTTTCTTCAGATTGAATATATACCTCCAAAACACTTCCATGGAATTTATTGGTAAATGTGCATGAATAAACTTGAGAACTTTCAGCAAAGTCACATTCTAGTGTTTTCTGTGTGCAAACCCAGTTTTACCAGACAACCCTCCAGGGTGCTGATAGCTTTCATGGAACAAGATGGGTGTAACAGAACCTTGACAGTGACTGCTGGAGTACCTTACTTTGTTAAAACTCATTTGTCACTTTTT